TGTCTTAATCTCTCTGAGATGGTTTTCTCTTCTGTAAAATGAGGGAGTTGGCCTAAATGATCTCTTAAGATCTTGCCTACATCTGACATTCTGTGATTCCAGAGTGGAATGTTTTTCTTAAGGTTACTTAAGGTTGTTGTAAGGATCAAATTAGAAAAATTTTATGAAAGCACTTTAAAAACTATTAAGTCTAACAAAGACATTACTAATTATTTACTAATTTGACATTATTTACTAATGCTTTTGGTCCAAAGACCAGATGCATTAGGTGTTAGAACTAAGTTCCAGAAGTTTAAAGAAAGGGGTGACCTTTTCATGACTTTGGCTACAAGTTCTAGGGGTATTTTAGGCTATCTTATTATCACCATTATTGAGTAAAGTAGGGACTATTCTGTAAATATGCACTGATTTAAACCTTAGGTTTCAGAAACTTGGTATAATTATAAGGTAGACCGCAATCCATGTGGTTTTATATTAGGCTTATGAAATTCTGGGTTAATAGGTAATTGTTCATCACTATGGAATAGTTGTATTTCTGCAAATTTGAATGCATGTTTACAGATTGCCATAGGACTACCATGTCTAAACATAGAGTACATTACAATTTTGGGACAATTTTCTTTGGCTTTTTTGTCCACTAAACATTTTCAAGTGTATGACATATACCAGACCTTCAAATTCATGGGTTCTTTTAAAAAGTATAGCTATCTTTCTCTGTTTGTAGATTATGAGAACCCCTGATAATATGCAGGAGGACTTAGCCCATAAGCTAATTCAAAAAATTGAATCAGTAATTATGTTTTAATTATTATTATTAGATGCTTATTCTCAGATCTAAGTAATAGTTTCAGCTCTCTGAAATTTTTTATTGTTAATCATTATAATTATCACTAGTCTGCTCTTCAAAAGTTTTCATAATGTATACCCTTTTCTTTGGTTTGTTTATAATTACTGCTAGATAATTTTATTTACTGTTGACATGGTGAGACTCTTTCACCCAAAGCTGCTTCTGAAGTAAGGTTTGAATATCTTTTCATTTGTAAAGTTACTGGCAATGAAAAGTAATAACTAACTGTTGCTTCTTTAATCTGTTAGCATTTAATCTTTCACATTAATTTTATGTTTATGATTGTATGAGTACAAATTTTATTGACCTTCAGCTTTTGAAGGATAAAACCATTACCCTGTGTTACTGGTAAACTCATATACCTAATGACTCATTCCTTTTCATATATGCTAGGAAAATGGTGTTTCATTGTTAAAGCTAGAATTGAATTAGTCAACCAGAAGTGAACCTCTAATTGTTTCCAAATGCTTACTTTTGGGGTTTGGATGTAGCTCTAAGTCTTAGCTCAGTCAGGAATTTGCTAAGCTTGTCTTTTTCCCCATATCCTTTCATTATGGCAGGATAGATCCATGCTAAAATCTGTTTTATGATTCCCCATTACGATGGTTAATCAGAAAAATATGGACACAAACTCCTGAGCTAAACACAATTTTAAAAGGCAAAAATAGAGTTTCTACAGGTTTCTTTTACATTTTTGTGACCTTTGAAATTATTATAGAAATCAACCTTGGTTCTAAATTGTGTATCACCATGTGATTTAGCAAACACCTTTTCCCCTATCACCATTTCATTACCTAGTTATAGCTCCTACAGCTAAAATTGTTATATTGTTTTAAAATTACTGTTGGAGAAAATTAGTGTAGCACATCCATGTGCTCCAGTGAAATGCTTGCTGCTATTGAATGTAAACGTTTTATTAAAATTCTGCCTAAGTAGACAGTCATTCCAAATTATATAGTATGGCAAAATCAGTAAAAACCTCTATTGACTCTTGCTAAAAAATGCACTCTCTTTATATTATTTCCTTATATCAGTTATGATGTCTTTTATTTAGGTATTTTAAAATAAATGTTTGCTTCTAACATTAATTTTATTAAAATGTTTATCTGCATATGGTTCTTAAATTGAGTGTTAAAATGAGTGAACCCTAAATTCCCTGTTAATTAATAGTGTGTTATCTGTGATCATGGAACTTATTCACCAATTCTAGAATCCTCAAATGAAGGGCCACATGTAAAAGTGAATTTTAGGAGAAAAAGAGAAGTGCTGGTTTTTTGGGTTTTGTTTTTTGTTTTTTACAAAGGCAGTGGCAGGGAGTGGCAGACTTTGGGAGGCAACACACATGGAATATGGAATATACACATAAAAATTTAAACAAAGGTTTGGGTAAGTTTGTAGATAGTTGTTCTGGGTGACTTATTAAGAGACTGTATTAAGGGAACATCCTTAATATTTTAAGGCTGATCGCCTCAAGGATTAGTATAGATTGGACTCAACCATCTCTTACTTACTGTGTTTTAACTCTTTGGGGGAAAAATTAGACTAGACCTAGGTATTCTAAAACAATAAATATTTTAAAAGTTGTTTGCAGAAAGATGTTTCACATCTGTTAAGTAATATCATTGCTCACAGTGTGTGCCTTCTGTTGCAGTAGAGTCCATGTTCTCTTCTATTTGTTTTTTCCCTACTTTTCTTTATTTTTAAAGGTGTACTTAAAAGTAAGTTATCAACATACTAATAAAGAAAACTGTTCACCAAAAGTTCACGGAAAATGAAAATGGTTACCAGAATCTACCGTTGTTTTGAATTCATATATGCCTTCTTCCAGATGAAGTGTTTGTTGCCTGATTTCTATTGACCTCTCTATAGGCTTTCTCAAAAATTATGAATTCCTTTGAAGTAAGATATTATGTATTATTTATCTTTTTATCTGCAGTACCTAGCACATGGTTGGCACATGGTAGGCATATAATAGATGTTCGTTGACTTGAACTTTTCAAAATTGAATTTGGAGTCAAAAGACCTGGTCTTATTATTCTAGCTCTCCCATTCACTAGCTGTTGTCCTCAGGCAAGTTACTTTGGTGTTCTAGGCCTCCATTTCCACAACTCTAGAGTAAGGTTCTATCTGGTTCTAGAAAAATCTGATGCCAAGTAAAGCATGTAGTAGTGTTTAATAATTGCTTATTTGTATTAATTGCTTTGTAAAATTTATATGCAAAATTACCTAATTAGTGATGGAGTAAATCAGTTTGCCAAGTATATCTCATCTCATTAGGTAATGCTGTTTCTTTTCTTTTTTTTTTTTTTTTTTTGGTATATAGAAGGAAGTTATATTTTCTTTCATTTCCAAATATATTCTCTCTCTAGTATTTCCTGTAGTTTGACCATTTCTTTCTTATTGAATGACAAATTAACGATGGAAGAAATTGGGCCGGCCCTATGGTGTAGAGTTAAGTTTGCCCACTCTGCTTCTGTGGCCCAGGGTTCACAGGTTCGGATCCTGGGCGCGGACCTATGTATCGCTCGTCAAGCCATGCTGTGGCGACATCCTATATATAAAATAGAGGAAGACTGGCACAGATGTTAGCTCAGGAACCATCTTCCTCAAGCAAAAAGAAGATTGGCAACAGATGTTAGCTCAAGGCCAATTTTCCTCACAAAAAAAAAAAAAGATGGAAGAAATTGCCTGGATATTTAATCCAGTCCCTCATATTATAGATGAGAAAACCAGTGCTCTGGAAGGTTATACAATTTGTCCAAAGCTATTTAATGGCAGAATTAGAACACAAGTATCATGGTTTCCACTTGAGTGCATTTTTCACTTCAGATATCTCCAGGCGTTATTAGCAGTTCCCTGGAATAAAGATTGGAGAAGAAATTATCCAAATAGCTAAATGTAGGAGGCACATGGAAAAAAATTGCTTTTTTCTTTTTATCAAAAAGTTATTCTTGGGGAACCATTTTTATGCTTCATTTTCTGAGAAGGACAATAAGGAAAGTAGGAAAACATAAAAATTGTAAGTTAGGCATATATAAACATCCTGTGACTGATCCTTACTTTTCCCTGAGAAATGAGGATGGAGACAGGAAAGAAAAATGCTGTAATGGCCGAATTGTATCTTGTTAATCTACCATCATGTTTTTCTTTGCTTTTTTTGTAAACCCAGAGTCCTCACTTATTTAATAACATCACAATAGGTAGAAACACGCTACTCTTCAGGTTAGATGAAGGAATAACCAACATTTTTTCACTGTCAAAATCCTTAGCCCCACTTCCAGTTGCTTTCTACCTATTTTTTTCCTCTAATGTTACCATAGGTATCACAGATTTTTTATAGGAGTACAGAGAGGACATTTCAAACACTTTGGAAGACAGTTTGGGAACAGGAAATATACCAGAAAACAGGTGACAACGTGAGATTTTTAAAGAAAGGATAGAAGCAGTTTAGGGACATTCTAGGCAGAGCTTATAGCATGAGTCAAAGCATGAAAGGAAGAAACAGCAGAAAGTTAAGTACAAGTATGTTTATGTTTAGAGAGTTTAAAATGTGGAGCAAGGATGATAGATGAAGCTAGAGGGGACCAGGTCCAAAAATATACCCTGTTAGAGAGCTTGCACTTAATCCTCTAGGCAGTAGGGAGCTTTCAGTGGAGTTTTTTAATGGAGAAAGGATAGGGTCAGGTACTGCTATTAGATAAATTAGTCTAATAACTTTATAAAGAATGGTTGTATTAGTTATCTATGCATGCATAACAAATTACACAAAAACCTAGTAGCTAAAGTATCACACATTATTATCTTATAATTTACCTTGGTTCAGGAACCTGGGCATGGCTGACTGGACTCTCTGGCTCAGGATCTCTGACAAGGTGGCAGTCAAGGTGTCAGCCATGACTACAGTCATTCCAGGGCTCATTGAGGGGAGAATCCCCTTCCAAGCTCACTAAAGTGGGTGTTGACAGTATTGAGTTTCTTTTGGGCTGTTGGACTGAGGGTCTCAGTTCTTCTCCAGAGGCATCCCTCAGTTCCTTGTCCTGGGCCTCTCCATAGGACAGCTCACAGCTGTGGTATCTATGAGCGAGCAAGTGAGAGAGCAAGGTAGCAGAGTGAACAAGAAGGAAGCCAGTCTTGACATCTCCTCGCTTTTGCCATACTCTGTTTATTAGCAGCGAGTCACTAGGTCCAGCTTACACTCAAGGGAAAGGGATTACACAAGAGCGTGAATACTAGGGAGACACAGGTCATCGGGATCCATATTTGAAGCTGCCTATCACAGTGGACTTGAGGAAATAAGACTGGAGGCAAAGGGGCCACTTAGGAGGCTGTTAAATAATCTAAGTAGATATGGAGATTATTGTAGACATGTGTCATAGAATGAAGGAGAGGGGAGGCAGTCAAGGTATATTTAGGATGTTAAATCATGAGAACTTGGCGATTTACAGCATGGAGGTTTTAATGGAGAAGAAGGAGTTAGGGATAACATCTAATTATCGTTGGCTCTTAAACCACTATCTGACTAAAGAATATTTTCACTTGAATGTGACTTAAACTCCTGTCCACATTGAGCTTTTCATCTTTATTACTGCCATCCCCTCCACTGTTAGGCTTCTTGGCTTGTCCTTGTTGCTTCACTATTTCTGCACTATATCCATTTAGACACCAGTTATTTCTGTCAATATCTTTAATTTTCCTTTTTGTCTCTGTTCCTATTGTTACCCTCCTTATCCAGGTACTTATCACGGTACACTTAAAGTATGGGAACAGTCTTCCTAATTTCTTCCCTGTGGCATTTTCCTTTCTTTAATCTAGATTCCCAAACATCTAATATCTATATATCTATCATGCATTTAACCCACAAGTATTTATTGTGGGCCTGCTTTGTGACGAGCATTTTAGTAGGCTTCCTTGGGAATATAATATTGAACAAGACAAGTATTGTCTTGTTCCTTTGGGTCTTTATTAATATCTTCTCTTTCCTTTCCATCTGTCAGAAATACCACTAATCCTTTAAGGTAACTACCTTCAACTTCTACTCTTATGAGACCTTCCTTGAAACATATGTACTTTTATCTCTATCTCCTACAGCTATAATCAGGAGGCGTTTTACTTAGGAAATTTTGAGATTCTACAAGTTTAAAAGAGAGCACTGGCTTAAGCTATTAAGTGTAATGAAGCTACATCTGACCTCCCTCAGTCTACTTCAAGCAGTAGAGTAATGCCTTCCCACCCTGACTCACTGGAATCACCTAGAAAGCTTTTTAAAAATGTAAATACCTCGACCTTCCCTCAAAGATTCTGATGTAGTATGTCAGAAATGACAACAAACAAGACTCTAAGGTGAATTTGATGTGTAGTGAGTTTAAAAAACTATTGCATTTGGGGCCGGCTCCGTGGCTTAGCGGTTACGTGCGCACTCTCCACTACTGGCCGCCCGGGTTCGGATCCTGGGTGCACACCGACGCACCGCTTCTCCGGCCATGCTGAGGCCGTGTCCCACATACAGCAACTAGAGGGATGTGCAACTATGACATACAACTATCTACTGGGGCTTTGGGGACAAAAAGGAGGAGGATTGGCAATAGATGTTAGCTCAGAGCCGGTCTTGCTCAGCAAAAAGAGGAGGGTTAGTATGGATGTTAGCTCAGGGCTGATCTTCCTAACAATAACAACAAAAAAAACTATTGCATTAAAGTCACCCTCACCATTACAGTATTAATTATTTTGTGTACATTTGATCATCTAAATAGCCTAAAGAAGTAATTTCCAAATACAGATTGAGGTCTAGCTACATCAATACATACAGACTTTTGGGCCCTATCATTAGAGATGCTGATTCACTAGAGCTATGGCTATATCCAGGCTGCTATATTTTTTAAATAACGAAATAAAACTGATATATAATCAAGTTTGAAAAATATTGGACAAATGGACTAATATACTACATTAATTTTTTTTGTATTTTCGTTAAAGTACTAGTCAGAAAAATGCATGTAAATATTTGGTAAATGTTAAGGACAAGTTGGCCATGACAGGCTTTATAGATTACCTTGGAAGATTCTGGCCATTTGAAGTCATATCTTAAATAACAGTTGAATGACTGCTGTGTTTAGATTTTTAGATGCTCCAATACATTTCAGTAGGATAAGTTTAGTGTTTCATACATTGATACATTTTATCTAGCTCTTTTACTTTAGGTAATAACTTATTGATCACATGAAGAATTTGGAACAAAGACTGTATTCTTTTTCCTCATATTCTGATAAATCTTATATTCTACTATAGGGAGGTATATTATTACTTTCTTACAGGATGAGATTGTCAGAATGTGGCTTTAATAAATTTGTTGTCTGCCTTTTCTTTAGTGTTATTCCTCTTTTAAGAGAGTCTGTCGGAGTATTAATGCAGAGAACTCCTCCCCTCTTGGAAAATACTCTGCCTCAGTGCTATCAGAGGGTAAGTTTCAAAGCTTCCAAACCATTGGATTTTATGTTGTCTCCAAGGCGTTAGGATTTTTAACTTTGACAAATATGGATAGCATATGTGTATAATTTAGTATTTCTTCCAAGACTGAATGCTGACCATGAATGCCATTTATACAAACCAGAATAAAATCATTGGAAAATATTGAACTTCACTAAAGCAAGTGTGGTAAGAATTGTCCTCGTCTAGAAATTGAGCAATTCTTCTAAGATATAGATATGAATAGCAAATGATGTAAACATTTATTCAACACATATTTTTTGAGCTCCTGCTTTGTGCCAGATATTCTTCAAAGGTGCTAGGTATGTAATGGTAAACAAGATAGACAGTGTCTTTGTTCTCAAAGCGCTTACAGTCTAGTGGGGAAACACAAGCACTAAACGATAAATCAATAAATAAGAAAACATCAGTGAAATTACTATAATAGAAATTAAACAAAGTGATGTAGTAGACATGGATGGCTACATTAGATTCACTGAGGAAGTCATATTCAAGGAAATTGAAACTTTGGTGACAAAAAGGAGCCCGCCATATGAAAATCCTGGAGAAGAGTGTTCCAGGCAAAGGAATGCTATTTATGCTAATGTAAAAGTTCTGTGGCTGGAACTAGTTCTTTGAAAATATTAATGAGCTAGAGTGAGTGTTTCTTAATGGGGCATATTTTGAACAGGAGAATTCTTCACTGTGCAATTGTCAGAAACTACAGGACCTTTGCATCCCCATGCCCGAAAGAACTAAATGACAACATAGACCCTTTCCTGAATCATGTGACAACAAAAAAGGGAGGAATTCTGTCAGTTTCTAAATCTCTGGGTTATTGATTTCTGTCCTTCATTTCCTTCCTTCTTATTTCTTTGACATTACTTTGTTGTTCTTTTTCTAGTTTCTTAGCTCATTTGTATTTATACTTGTTCTCTGATCATGAATTTGAAAATGTAAATTTCCCTCCAGGCACTCTCAGCTGTGTCCTACAAATTTTAATATGTGTTCATTCATATTTCCCAAACACCTGTGATGGTACCTGGCACATAATGAGTATTCAATAGGTTTTGTTAATTAATTCAAATATCCCTCATCCCGCTTTCTATAGGGTAGAATCTATGTTTACTGATATGTTACAGAATAATTTAAGTGGGAGGGAGCCCTTATACTTGATTAGGATGTTAATATTTGCCCTTTATATTTTAGGTGCAGCAGTTGCAAGGAGTTTACAGTTTACAAGAACAGCACTTCTGGACCTTATGTTCTGACGTTTATGTTGGGACCTTGAAATTAGTAGTAGCACCTGATGCTGATGCCAGGTGGATTTTAAGCCAAACACATAATATTTTTACTCAGGTATGACTTTTTTACTGACTTCTTAAGGATCTTAGAATTTATTGTATCAATTAGTTTAAAAAATATTTACTATTTAACATATTAAATATGTATATTTATGTGTGTCTATATGTGTGTGTGTGTGTGTATATGTATATATATATACATACACTATGAGGTAAGCATAAAAGTACTTTTTTTCAACCACAAAGTCAAATTTGAGAATCCTTATTTTAGTTAATAGTCTTAAGAAAGATAGTCCTATTTACTCATCATCGTACTGATTTGAATTAAGAAAAAATAGCTTCTCCTTTACTATACACTCTTTATAAGACACATTAGATGCTGTTTGAAGCCAAGAATTCTAAAACAGCATTTGGAATGAGAATAATGCCTTTTCAGTGGTTTTAGCTAAAAACAGTCTATGTTAATGTGCAACTACGTCAACTCATGATGGCATAAGCATTAACTGAAAAAATTTGGTTGTAGGCATGCACTGACTAATTCCTATGTTAATGTTTTTTGTGTGATAGCAAAGCCATAGTTATTTCTGTGTGATTTTATAGCTTAATATGCTGTTGAGTTTCTCTTAATACTGTATTTGGAATCAGGAATTAGTCAGTGCATGCCTACAACCAAATTTTTTCAGTTAATGCTTATGCCATCATGAGTTGACGTAGTTGTGTGACTGATAATCAAAGTAAGAGCAATTACTATGTCATTCTGTATAAATTGTGAGAGTAAGAACATCATGTCAAGAACATCTGAGGAGAGCGAGAGAACACATTCTTTTTTTGGTGTAGTTTGCTGAAAATATTTGATGAAAAATCTAGATGTCGACACTGCTGCCAAAATTATCTAACACATAGATCTAATAAGGAAACCGGTTCCATGCCTTAAAAATCTGTGCTTAAAAAGTGACATGTGCCTCCTGGTGTGATGCAGTGGGAAGTACACAACATGACCTTTGTGGTACTCTTGCCAGAAATGGTTAACATGAATCTAATCATTAGCAAACAGCCAGACAAGCTTAGCTTGTGGAAACTTCTGTAAGACTGTTAGCCTGGATTCTTAAAAAGTGTCAATATCATGAAAGGAAAAAAAAACCCAAAGCGGTGCAGGATTATTCCAGATTAGAAGAGACTTCATAATTAAATGCAATATGTGATTCTTGATTAAATCTTGAATTGGGAAAAAACATCCACAAAGGAAATTATTCGGTATTCAGGAAATTTGTATGTGGACGGCATAACAGTTATATAATTGTGTAAATGTTAAATTTCTTGGGTGTGATAATAGTACTGTGGTCATAGAAGAATGTTCTTATCCTTGGGAGATAACGTGCTGAAGGATTTAGTGGCCAAGTATCAGGATATCTAATTATTTTTCAAATGTTTCAGCAAAAGTAAAAAGATTACAAATAAATATACATGTAGAGAAATAAAGCAAATGGGGCAAAATGTTAGCAGTTGGTGAATATAGGCGATGGGTAAATAGGTATTTATTGTACTATTCTTTTGACTGTAAAATTTTTCAAAGTAAAAAGTTAAAAAATAAAAACTTTGGTGGCTTCTTATTGCCACCAGGATAAAACCAAACTTTCTAGCATGGCGCAATTAATGTTTCAAGCCTCTCTCCTGCTGTTCATTGCCATGTACTTTATACTCCAACCCCACTAGACTATTTACTTTTCTGCATAGGACAAAAATCCTACTCTAAGGTAAGGTCCAATTCAATTGTTACTTTCACTCTGAAGCCTTAAAGATCCCTCAAAGCAGCATTACTTTATCCTGTAATAAACGTATCACACTATAAGTATTTTTCTGCAAATTTCCACCAAGTGTCATGATTTTGCATTCCCAATGCTTAGGAGAATATACATGTGTAATAAAGTTTTTGACTAAACAAATTCTTAAAACTGTATTTGACCAAAACCATCTTTACATATGCTAAGTATGGAAAAATATTGTTGAGTTCCCATTGGTCTTTTTAGCCATAAGCACAAAAGGATGGTAATGCTATATATATAGAGAGAGAGAGACTGACAGATAGACAGACATCACATCTTCAGACATGGACAATAGAACATAATATGCAGTTTTGTTAAATTCAAGACCTTAGCATAAATTAAACAATGTCTCCTCTCTAACAAAGAGAAATGTATAGTTATGTTCCTTTGGGAAGAATTAATGAAATAATCTTTTATGTAGGTGACAGCAAGACTTACCCTACTACAAAACAGTGTGCTGGAACCACTTATTTACTCCAGAATTTTAAGAACTAGGTCTTTTTTTGTTTTTATTTATTTATTTATTTATTTATTTTTATTTTTTGTGAGATCAGCCCTGTGCTAACATCTGACAATCCTCCTCTTTTTTTGCCGAGGAAGACCGGCCCTGGGCTAACATCCGTGCCCATCTTCCTCCACTTTATATGGGACGCTGCCACAGCATGGCTTGCCAAGCAGTGCGTCGGTGCACGCCCAGGATCCAAACCGGCGAACCCTGGGCCGCCGCAGCGGAGCGCGCGAGCTTAACCGCTTGTGCCACTGGGCCGGCCCCGAACTAGGTCTTTTTTTAAACAGAAACTATAATAAGTTGGCATCATTATGACTTTCATAACGAAGCATGCAAGACCTTGACAGTATGTCTGAATCCTTCTCACATCTCCTCCCCATTTCAGAGGCAAAAGGAGAATGTGGCTAGCAATAACCTTGCTTTTCACTACCATTTCTAGATCATTATTCTCTCCTTGAACCTCTGTTTTCTCCTAGTTATACTATGTCCTTCCACCCTCATAGTGTGAGCTTCTATTGACCTCTCCTAAGACTTTGGTACTTAACCACAGTTTTCCCTCTGAGAAGGAATGCAATTTCTAGGTTTAAAAATGTGCAAGCAGCTGTGTCTGTGCCAGGAGCTGTTGAAGTTGTAATTGAAGAACGTGGAGGGAGGTTCTTCTGGTAACCTTAGAAATCTTGGCTTTTAAAATGGCTGAAGTTGAAAGTTTTTTCAGCTGTTTCTTTGGTTTTGGAAACTATATTTGGGTTTTAAAAATTTTAAGCTCCCTGGGGCCTGCCCGGTGGCACAAGTGGTTAAGTGTGCGCACTGCACTGCGGCAGCCCGGGGTTCGCCGGTTCGGATCCCGGGCACGCACCAACGTACCGCTTGTCAGGCCATGCTGTGGCAGCGTCCCATATAAAGTGGAGGAAGATGGGCACGGATGTTAGCCCAGGTCCAGTCTTCCTCAGCAAAAAAGAGGAGGATTGGCAGATGTTAGCACAGGGCTGATCTCCTCACAAAAAAAAAAAATTTTTTTTTAAGCTCTGAAAAATATTTTAAGCCTTTTTATCTGCTAAGGTCAAGCCAACTTGATTTCAGTCCTTGCAGAGACCAGGAACTCTTCAAGGCTTGCAGTGAAGAGGGTTCAACACATTTTTTCCCGGGAGGGAGAGTGGAGTCACCCTACTAATGACTTTCATTCCAAACATTTAGTGATTTTAAAGTTGTTTTGTGATCATTGTTTTAGTTCTGACGTATGCAAAATTGAAAGGTTTTATTAATATGTTTTCCTTTTCTACTTATACCCTAGTAATGCATATTCATATGCTATGAGTATATCCCAGGGTTTGCAGTAACATTTTCATTTTGTTGGGATGGAAAATTTTTTTCTCTGCCTTTCTATATCTTTTGGCTGGTTTATTAATTCAGTTGACATAAAACAGATTAACAGGAGAATACAAATTTAATGTTGTACGTATGGGAACCCCATAAAAATATGAGACCCAAGGCAGTTGAGGCTTATATGCCATCCTGAGCTAAGGAATGGGATAGGGCCTGGGGCTTCCAAGGGGAGAAGGGTAATTCACAAGACTATGAGAAGAGCAGATGTTTGGTAATTAGATGTTTGCCTCGCCATGCAGATAGGCATTCAGATAACAGTTATTTTTGGTAATAGCTCTCTCTGAGCCAGGATGCCTATCTAAACTCTTTTGGGTAGTTGAGGGAGAGATAAAAGTTTTTCTTGAGACTGCTGAGTCTTGATTGCTTTCAGCTCAAAATAATGCACATGCCAAAGTGGCATATTTTGGGGCCACATATTCTGCTGGTCCTCAATTTCATGAAATGGAATTTAAAATTTTTTTACATTATTTTTTATTTTAAATTACATCTTATTCATAGATTTTACTTATCAAAATTAAAAAAAACTCAAATTATTCCATTTTTGAGAAAAAAAATCACACTAATGCTTTAGGTATATTTCTTGTAGAAAGACTTGAAATACTGGTAGCCTTAGATCCGAAAAATCAAAAGAAGGGTTTTCTCAGTAATAAGTTTTCCTTTTTGGTTTTATGACATTTTTAGGTATCTTTCTTATTGCTGATCTTAAATCAGAATTTAAGTAATAGTTTTCTTTGTTGTTTTTTTTTAAATTTTTTGTTTATTGTAGTAACATTGGTTTATAACATTGTATAAATTTCAGGTGTACATCAGTATACTTCTATTTCTGCATAGATTACATCATGTTCACCACCCAAATACTAATTACAACCCATCCCCACACACATGTGCCGAATTATCCCTTTCGCCCCCCTCCCTCCCTCCTTCCCCTCTGGTAACCACCAATCCAATCTCTGTCTCTATGTGTTTGTTTGTTGTTATTATCTACTTCTCAATAAGTGAGATCATACAGTATTTGACCTTCTCCCTCTGACTTATTTCACTTTGCGTAATACCCTCAATGTCCATCCATGTTGTCACAAATGGCTGGATTTCATCGTTTCTTATGGCTGAGTAGTGTTCCATTGTGTATATATACCACGTCTTCCTTATCCATTTGTCACCTCATGCCCGTCAAAATGGCTGTAATTCACAAGACAGGAAACAACATGTGTTGGAGAGGATGTAGAGAGAAGGGAACTCTCATACACTGCTGGTGGGAGTGCAAACTGGTGCAGCCACTATGGAAAACAGTATGGAGATTCCTCAAAAAATTAAGGATAGAACTACCATATGATTCAGCTA